CGATATGATTAGCTGTTTCTAGCTGTGTGAAAGTGGGTGAGATTCATGGTGAAGTTTTCGAATTATGAAGGATTTGATGTATGCAATTCACTACTTGATGTGGATTTATAGATTCTTTTGGAAATTGCTTATAGAAGAAGAACTGAGGGAGACTGGTTTCATTGCTATGGAAGTTTTTGTTGTTTTGGTTTCCCTTTAGTAACAAAACTAAGATGCCAGTTTTGGTGTAACATAGCCAGAAATTTTTGGAACAATTTTCTCACTGAAAATTTCCATCTGTTTTGCATTTTGCAGATTTCATTTGGTGTTATTGGGCTAAGTCTCGGGGTTTCTCTTCTCTCGTGAGTTTTTTTTTTCATGCCTTCTTTGTTGCTATATTCTTAAGTGTGATTTTCATTATGGATGTGTTAAACCCTCTACAGGTACGGTTTTGGGGCCTATTTTAATATCCTTCCTGGATCTGAGTGGTCTGCAATTATGCTTACATATGGATTTCCTCTTGCTATAATTGGAATGGCACTCAAGGTATGCCTGCCATCTCTTGTGTGTTCAACTATTTGATTACACATTTTGCTCTTCGGTTATCTTTCTCGTTCTTAAGTCCTGGAGAGTGGAAAATTTTGGATAGCTTTAACTTTACTCAAATTTGACTTGTGTATTAGAGTTCTTCATTTCTTTCTTTTGTTTTTCGGAATGCCTAATTGTTTTAGTTCCTGAGGATCTGTTTTTGCTTCCGTTGCAGTACGCAGAACTCAAACCAGTTCCTTGCTTGAGCTACTCGGATGCCGTCAAGCTTAGGGACAGCAGCGCTACTCCTATTTTAACACAGGTAATTAAGTAGTTCTGGTTGCTCTCAGATACTTACCGGATGATTCTTCATCTTTTCTCTTATTACATAAATTTTCGGAAACATATTTATGTCTCTGATTGAAGCTACTCAGAAACATAGGCTGTTAAACTTACTTTTCTTGAATTGTTAATGTGTCGGGCTTATTCTTTCTTTTATTAGGTTCGAAATGATGTCACGAGATACCGTTATGGGGATGAACAACATTTGGAAGAAGCACTAAAACGAATCTTTCAATATGGACTGGTAAGCTATTTTTATTGAAACATAATGAAAACACATTTCTTTACTTCCTTTTTAACTGCTCTTTCGACTTTTATGGCATTAGGGAGGAGGAATCCCAAGACGTAGTGCACCTATGTTAACGATGATAAGGGAGGAGGTAAATATTTTTCTTGTACATCCCATCATATGAATTAACATATGCAGATATCTCTTTTTTTTTTAACTTGCACACATTGACCGATGAAACTAAACTTACCCAGAACGTTTCCGATAAATCTGTGTCCGCAGGTCACTGCCGATGGTCGTTACTGCCTGACCCTTGTATTTGAGGCCAAAGCTCTGAACTTGTCAGATTTCGAAAAAAGACAGGTAATAATAGTTAGATTCATAAACTTACAAGCTACGAGCTAATCTTCTTTAACATCAAAGAGCGAACATGTAGGAACATAACTGAAACTGATCCTTT